GTACGCGAAACCATGATCGACCTCAGGATCGGCCATGCACGGTAATCATGGGGATGAGGGAACACGAGGAGGAAAGCCCAAGAGAGGAGAGCTCGGGTGGGAGAAAGGGGAGAGAGGTCGGGTGGGCTAGGGGGGCTTGAGAGAATTTTAGAATTCTGAATTCGAATTCCAATTAGGTGGAGTGAGGGGAAATTAATTTGAAAGTCAAATTAATTCCCTAATGGAGGGGCCGGCGGTTTATGAGGGGTTACTGGAGTTTAATTGAGGGGCAATTAATGTAATAGGAGAGAGAAAAACCAATAAAGGGGGGCCGACCAAGTATAGAGAGGGGAGAAGGGAATTAAGATTAAGTAGGTAGGGCCCACATGATTAATAAAAAATTTGGAGAAAATCTGAAGTAAATTTCAGATTTTGATAAAAGGAAAGTTTCCTAATTTAATTGCAAGTAATAAGCAATTGTTTGAATTTCAAATTTGAATTGAATTCAATTATGACAATTGCCTAAAATCTTGGGCTTATTTTAGGAAAGCTATTAATGCTTTGGGGAGATTTGAATTTCAAAATTTATTTCTTTTGATCATAAAGTCCTCACAAAATGAGGGCGAAATCTCTGGGTAGTGTCTTATCTACAAACCCATCTGCCTTCCAAAATTTACCTCGGAACTTAGTTCGTTAAAACTCCCTCGTCGAATAAGAAAAGCGAGTGGAGGCCGAGGCCGAATTTTCGGAGCCCACAACAATAGAGGAGGCCATCATATATAGGCCTAAGGAAAAACAAAATACAATGACGAAAATGCCCCTGGGGCTACAACTCAAGACAACTAAAAGAAAGGGTACAATCGGGAATAATAAATAATACAACATCAAAATAAAACTAAGCATCAAAATAAAGGTTGTGGATCGTGGCCATCGATTGGCACCTCCTGCGCTGATATACTCGTTGAAAACGTCTGTCGATGTCCTCATCAACCCTCTCCCATATGTTGAATTGGATCTTCTTCTTATGCCTATCCGCCTGCTTCTTCATGATCTGTTGTGCCCTCAACATGTGCCTTTATAGTTCTTCCAACACCCTATATCGCTCCTCCAAGTACTATTCTACTAACGAGACAGGTGTGCTATGCAACCCAAAATGCACTAAGTGTGGTGGGTCTCGTTTGTGCAACACTTTGAATGGGTCATCTGAGAGGCCGAATGATATAAAGTATTGTACCAGTACTCCACCCATGCTAGTCATCTGGCCCATAGCCTAGGTGTGTTCGACAAAAAACATTGTAGGTATGTCTCTAGGCTCCTATTTATCACACCTATTTGCCCATATGTCTGAGGGTGATAAGTTGTGCTCCTCTTTAGTACCATCCCTTGCATCCTGAACAACTCCCTCCAAAAGTGGCTGAGGAACACCTTATCCCGGTCGGATATTATAGACTTGAGTATCCTATGTAATCTGACCTCCTCTTTGATGAATGTTGTTGTAACTATCATTATAATGTAAGGGTGCCATGGGGGAATGAAGTGAGCATACTTGCTCAACTATCCACCATCATTAGAATCATTGTAAATCTTTCAGATCGAGGTAACCCGTATCCATGGAGACCTCCTACACCCGATCTAGCAGAGCTAGGGGCTGCAATAATCCTCTTGGAGCCTGACCATTTACTTATTTCTCAGACATAACTCACAACTGGCTACCAACTCCTCCACATCCTTGTGCATCCCCTTCCAATACAACTCTGCAGTGAGTCTCATGTACGTCTTCTGCACCTTCGAATGACCCCTAATAACACTATCATGGAACTTCTGTAACAGGTGTGGAATATGGACTGATGTCCTGGGCAACACAAATCTCCCCTGGTATAGAAGCTTCTACCCTTTTAGAGAATAGCCCGAGTGACTACTCCCACCCTTTAATAAATTTGCCCTAATCCTCCCCAGCTCTTCATCCTGTGCACTCTCCTCATTAATGGCCCCCCCAATCCAACATCAGTGGTATCGACATAGCCATATCCTGTAGCTCCTCAATACATCTAGACAAAACATCAGCTGCCTTGTCCTCTATCCCTTGCCTATACTAGATTTCAAAGTCATATTCCAATAACTTTGACAGCCATCACTGATGCTCCTTTGTCACCATCATCTGCTCCAACAAGTACTTCAAACTCCATTGATCCATCCTAACAATGAAATGTTGACCCAACAAATAAGGTCGCCACTTTTAGATGGCTAGCACAATTGCCTTTCACTCCCTCTCATAGATTGACCTCACCTAGCTTTAACTGTCAACACCTGGCTGAAGTAAGTGATGGGTCGGTGGCTCTGCATGAGTACTACGAATCTTTACCCTGAGACATCCATCTCTAGTACAAAATTTTTAGTGAAATATGGTAGAGACAAGACCGGTACAATGGTCATTGCCTTCTTCAGCCTCTCAAAAGTTGTTGTGGCCGCCTCCCCCCACAAGAAGATATCCTTCTTCAACTATTCTGTTAGTATCTAGGTGATGCATTCAATATCTATCAGCATGTGTTTTTTGATTTGAATGTTTTAAATTTTTATTTTGGTCTTATGTAATTTGGAATTTTATGTTTTATTTGGTTTACCCTATGATGGAAGGCAACCTATGAACATGTCTAGGATTGGTGCTCTTAGGACATTTCACTCCTTTGTTTTGCTAGCTTTCTTTGATTTTTGGGCATTTATTGTTGGAATGAAATTCTTCTATTGGGCTTGGTCCATTTTCCCTTGGCTGCTTGGTGTTTTGTTATTTCGGCTGATGAGTTTTCTAGCTGTTCAGATCCTGAGCTGACCGTTGGATTTTTCTGGTTGTTCGGATCCTGGGCTGGCTGTTGGTTTTTTGGCTGTTTGGTTCCTGGGCTGGCCGTGCCTCTCTCTCTTGGGTAATTCCCATGCTTTGGCTGCTCCCATTGGAGGCTTGGGGCGGCACCTTTTGGGGGGCTGTTTGTATTCTTTTCCCCTATTTATAGGGGACTGTTTGTTGTTGTATGGAAGTTTTATTGATCTAAAATTGTTATTAAACCTGAGGGTTTTCTCTTCCTAGCTTGAGAGCTACTTCTTTCCTACCTATTTCTTCTTCTAGTTTTCTATCTATTTCTTCTCTCCACAAGTACCTTTCCATTGTATCTTTCTTCTCTACATAAAGTGTGAGTGGTGTTGTTGGCCGGTTTGTTGGTATTTGCCGGAGGAGTGTCGACAGGTGTTGGATAAAGTTTGTTGTGGTGGACCATTGGTTTGAATGTTCTTTAGAGCACCTAAATTTTCCTAATTTTATCGATACGTGCGAGGTGACCTTTAAGGTTGTTCTGAGGGTTGTGTTCTTCATTATTTTGTTTTAAGTTCTCTTTTACGTTTCTTGTATCTGTTTGTTTCTTTGTTGGTGGTTTATCTTCTTTTTTGGTTAAGTTTTGGTCCATTTGTCCCTTGTGTTCTCCTTCTTGGCTTTTAGAACTTAGGATCCATCAATTTGGTATCATAGTATCTAGGTTATCGTGTGTATCTTTTAAAAAAAAAATTGAATAATCAAAATAATCAAGCGGATTGGCAACAAATGATGATGCAACAAATGGCTAACCTACAACAACAAATGGAAACTATGGCTAATACTTGCCTTTATGCATATTTCAATGTGATGTATTGCTTTATGGATTTCACAATGGTCTCATGCCTTAGCACAAATTTTCAGGTGTTTGGTCGTTTTGAGGGATGTGCGTTTCCATGGTTCTGAAATCATTTTAGTATCTGAACTTAAAATTTAAAACATATCTTAACTTGGCATGTTTCTCAAAGCAATATTGTGCCTTAAGTGTGATTTTGGATGAATTTATGTGCTTTTCGTGCTATGCAAGGCATCTTCAATAGCTAGAAGGGATTCAAAGAATATTGAGCGACTTAACATCTATTTTTCTGGACCTTGATGTTACAACAAGAAAAAATCATTATGTTCATCAATATGATGCTCAAAACACTTAGTGCATTATTTTTGGGAGTAATCTTGTGCCTTGTCGTGAATTTAAATGTTAACTAGATTACAGGTGGCTGCTGGATTTTCTCAGTAAATTTAGTTTAGTTAGGTTTGAAATGGCTTTATTTAGTTCATTCTGGATCGTATCATGTTTGTTAAGGTCAAATTGGTTTAATTTAGTTTATCCAGTGAATTTTTGGTGCTTTAATTAATTGATTTTCCATGGGCTTACTGGATATTTATTGGATTTTTTTTATCAACTGATTTCATTTGGCTCTACGTTGACCAAATTTAATTAATCAAGATGAATTTAGCAATTGATGATGATGCTAAACTAGGACCTCTCCCTGAAAGAAATTTAGGGTTTTTGTAAGCTATTTTTAGTCAGATGGTAGTGCTTAATGAATTTAGCAACTGGTGGCTATGCGAAGCTTATGGGCATTTGCTAATCCAGGTTTCTTCATACTTAACACTTTCTAACATAACATAATTGGGCTAGTCTATATTGCACTTTTTATATGCAGCTCCAATTTTAGTTTCTTTTAGTGGTTAGTAAGGAAGTTCATAGATTGTTGAGCTAAATATTTCAAGCATGCATGGCATAGTTAATACTTAAACCAGTTAAAGCTCTCTTGGTGAAATTAATTTTGATGGAAAATTTTCTCTGTTTTTGTTACTTTGAGCTCCTTTCAGGTTGATTAGATATCAGAACATTTATAGAGGATATCAAGTTTGGTAGGTGTGTAGTTTTTTTTTTTTTTTTTTTTTTAATTTCTGGCTTCTGTCAGTCCATGGAGTGGCTGACTTCAGTGTCTCATGCAACAATGCTATTCTATAACTTTAATGTTTAAAAAAAATCTTTATGTGCTTTATGTTGCTCTTTTTTTGGTATTACTTCTTTTCATCTTTTTTATTCCAAATAACTTGTCACAATGGATTTATATTTACATTCATATACCTAAACAATAGTATTAACCTATAAATAGATCTTCTAAAAGTATTTGACAGTATTTCTGAACAGCTTGAGCTGGCTTTTAGAAGGGAGTTTGATGAGACGTTAAAAGTCTCAGCTGATGAGGTATTTCAAATCAGGAACCTATTCATGTAATTTTGAGCATTTTGATGCTTTACTACATTGTTCTTCTTTTAATATTTTGCAAAGTATTGTTCGTGCAGATGCTATTCACCAGGCTGTCTAAACGTCTCCTTGTTTGGGCGGAGGAGAAGACGTACTGGATTGCTTCTCGATTCCTACTTCTGGGATTCCAGCTGGAGCTATACTCTCCGAAGGAATATTGCATGGTATATTGGTATATGTACATTATTTTTGTGAATCTTTTAGAGAAGATGCAAATGCGGGCCAGTTACCCTGTTGATGATTGTAAGTATCATATTTGTGTTACTATTTTTTTTTATATGCACCCATATTTACTTTCATGCCTTTTTTCTTTCTCTTTCTTGATGGAAACAAGATCCTCCGGGTAAAAAACAAGTGTCTGATCACTCTGCACCTTTTTTCTTATCTTCTATCTGAGTTGGTCTGGTTTTACTTTGGAAGCTATTTCAGCTCCTAAAGCTGAATTAATTTTAAAGAAGGATTTGAGATCCTTATCATCCTTATTGAGATATAATTGCTAAAGTTGATTATGCTCCAAACTTTCATCAAATTTTCTGATGCTTATATCTTCTAATTGTTCACCTTTTATGCAATGTGATATTCATCATAACGCATGAGCACTGGACAGTACTTGAATATAGGAAAATTTTGAAGTGACCCAAATCTCAGGATTGCACGATTTATAGAGGTATTAAGTTAATGTGTCATACTTTAAAATTATGGGAGCGAGTTATAGAGCATAGGTTGCGGCCACAATGGAGAAAAAGGATTCATGTAGCCGACCCCACGTAGTGGGATAAAGGCTTGATGTTGTTGTTGTTGTTGTTGTTGCATGATAATGGTAACAGTACTGTGCAAAACCTATCAGGCAAAATGGCATCTGCCTTCCATCATTATCTTTTTATCTTCTTCATCCATATATTAGCATTATTGATAGCCACAGCGTGTGAGGATGATAAGAGATGTTTTTCCACTACGTCAATTTTGATTTCATCTAGCCTTGCCCTAGCTTGTATCAGAGAATCAGTAGCAATACTCTTGTCATTTAATCTTGATTTTATTTGTTTTGTATCTATGTTATGAGCAACTGTTTTTTCTAGTCACATACACGATCTATGTGTAATACTCTTAAGTTGTTTTTTAATGATGTTCCCCTTGCTTATTTCTATAAATTATTGACTCCCATTTTCTGGATTGGTTATTGGCAGTTGTTTTTTTAATATTATTTCTATGTCCTTGAATTCTTATGAATCATACTTACATTTTTGTATATATCTTTAATTTCACAATCTCTTTCAATATGTTACTACTAGCACAACATAATTACAGCTGAGAAGTCTTACCTATGCATCTTTTAATGGCAAAAAGATGTACCGCACCAGAGAATGCTTGATATTATATTTGTTCTAAATACAACCTTGGGCAGATATATGAAGCGTACCTGCTTCATGGAAGCGGTTCATTAAACTGTCCTTCCAGCTATTGATTTGCATCTACAAGTTACACCTCGGAATAGCAATATGCTGAGATAATTTGTGCTGTTTCAGTGTTGCAAGTTGATTCCAGTTTCGACAGTGCATAGTCGAAATCTAGGGATCTTTTCCATCTAATCGAGCAGTGTATAACCACCAGTGATATTTAATTTGTAATAAGCTACCTAGCTAAATACTAATGTTTGATGTTCAATCCATCTTATGGGTTATTTCAATGCATAAGAAGCTGAAGATTTAGTTTCATTTTTGAACTTGTTAAATTGAAATTATGGCACTATCTTAAGTTAGTGAAACTTAAAGGTGAAAAAGTGTGAGTGATAGTTAGCTTAGTGTTGACATAGATACCACTTTATGTCATACTATTTACATATCTAACACCCAAAACATTAATATTATATGCCTACCACCCATATACAACTTTAATATCAAATATACACTCATATATTTCATTCCTACCACTTATACCACCCTATAAATTTTAATATTTCATTCCATGCACCCATATTGCATAGGATTGCCCTTTTTATTTTCATATGTAACACCTCAAGCCTTTAATTTACCTGACCCACACCTCAAATTTCTAATTCACTCATATCCTGCACTCCATTTCATCTCGGTCACCCGCTCGCGTGCCAGCTCCCAGTTGCTCGAACGATCATCTCCTTCGACCTATTCTCCGTCGATATCCGACGTGAAAATGCCCATTGATGCCATGAAAATTCCTTCGTCGTTCTATTGCTGCTGCTCCTCCTTCGTCGTTATACTTGTCTCGTGAGTTTTGAGTTATGCCCTGATATGCTTTATGCCCTAAATTTTGCTATAGCTATGTCATTCTTTGGTTGGTGAGATCTACTTCTTGACAAAGTCATTTTTGCTAAATATCTAAATCTGCTACTTCTCTACGTTGGATGCTAAATATCTATTTAACAATTAGCCTCAATCAAAAGTATTTTCTCGTTATTGAGACGAATAATTAACTATAGGGGCTTGCGCCTATAAAAAACTATAACTCGGATCTCAAAATCCTCGTTAAGAGGGAGAAATCTCTGAGTAGTGTCTTATTTCTATCTAATATGTCTTCCGAAAATTTTCCCAAAAACATAATCTTTTAAAACTGTCACACCCCCGCCATCGGGCATGGAAGAAAATCACAAGAACCCAATGGTTAGGTGTGAGCTGGACAAAATTTTTAAAATGATTTTAAAGCATTGGAAATATATGACTTCATTATTTTGATTCCACCAATTAATCATCAGAGCATCTAGACCCAAATATATACTAAATGTCCACAAAAAATAATGAAATTCCACTTTTACAATTAAATTAATTAGATAATTCTAACCTTAAATATCTATCAAAGATGAGTCTCATGTAAGTTCCTCCATAAGAAGCACAACTAGCAACTTGAAATTATGAAGTAATAGGTGTGAGTTTGCAAGAACAAATATCACGTAAAACCCTACCAAGTAAAATATAAACGGCAAGGCATGACATAAAATATGAGCAAAGTGAGGGATATAAGTGAAAAATAAACACTGGACTATAATAGCTTCAAACAATGTATGATATGAGATTTTTGATGCATTTCATTTGTTAAAGCTTCTTGTATAATAGAATTCATAAAGAATTACTTGTGACAACTAGTAATTATTTCATTAAAATGCAAATACATTCACTTACATGCATACGATATTTATACATCCACTAGTGAATCATCAATCATTTATTATTGATCTTTGTATATCAATAGATATATATCTATAAAAATTTGTAGTCGGTTGTTTACTATAGTACCATGCAAGGAAAGGTAAGCACCAATCCCAAGATAATCCAAGAATTTTCTTTACAGTCGTCATTTTGAGGACCCGTTGGTCTGACTAGCTAATACCCAATAAGGTTAAATACTGACATTTACAAGCTTTTTAAAAGGTGAAATCGGGAATCGAGGCATTTTTTCAAAGCGAGGTGAGGCGTAAGCCTCAAAACGATTAAAATAAATTAATTTAAAATTATAAATAATGACAAAAAATAACAAAATATTATGTCAATTATGAATTTGAAGATTTGTTTCAAGATAATATCGGTTTGCCGGGGGTCCAAGGGGGCGCTGCTCCCTGGCGGGGATCGACCGAGCGGTACCGAGCAAAATTTTATTATAAGAGTAATTTTGAAATTATGCTTGTTTTTAAAGTTCATAAGTTGTTTGTATGGAAAGATACCGAGCGGTACCGAGCATGTACCGAGCGGTACTGGCTCGGTACCGAGCGGTACTGGAAGCCCATTACCTGCATGAGCAAAGGAAGAAAGCCCCCATTACCTGCAGTTGTCGAAGCCAAAGTATACGAAAGAGGAAGCAAGTAAAGTTTAAACAATGGTCGAACATGTAGTGTTACCTTCGGTTCGAGCTCCGACTTCACACGAAGTGTGACGAAGTCAAACCAGCGGTCGAACAGGAAGAAAGGTCGTTCCCGAGCACTCCTGCCGGATCGAAGAACTCACTTGTGGTCAAACACGTAGCAGCTCTCAAAAGAGACGAAGCGGAAGCAGCGCGCTCGAAAGATAAGGAATTTGTTCTTCGCTGTGAGCTCCGTCGAATCCTAATGAGGCGTTGCCTCACGCTGCCTCGAGGCGTTATTCTTCGACGCGTACGCCTCGCTGAAAAAAATCACACGCCTCGTCAAATACATTGAGGCTTAAGCCTCAAGGCGCCGGGTTAGAGTTTCGAACTGAGTCGCGCCTCTGTTCGGACGCCTCGACCACTTTTTTAATCGATGCATCAAACACAAAAGCTTGTATTATATACATATTGTATTTCAGTAATAGTGCTTAACAAGGCTTATCACTGGGGTGTTCCGCCCCAGCCTAGCCGCCCCCTTGAGGGTGGGCTCCACAAGCCCAATTAATGGGGAATTATGTGGGGATTTAGGAGGGAAATATCAAATAAAGGGGGCTGTTTGGTAATTAGGGGGAATTAATGTTTGTTTAAGAGGGAATTACTTTTAGGGTTTGTTTTTCATCTCTGTTTTTGTTCTAATTTGTGGTTCTTAGTTCTTGTTTGGGGTTTAGCTGCGTCTATAGATTTGGGAGACCCAGATCTTCCTCGTCAATAAAAGATCCATTGTATCTTGTATTGTTCTTCTACTATTATCAATTAAAAAAGTACATTTTTGGTTATTCTTCCAAGTTTGATCCGGGGGAACTCTTGATTTCTACAAGCGTTCCCTATCTATTGTCCACTTTCCTAGCATAGAAAGACCGTACTAAAAAATATTATGACCTTTTGGTTTAGTTACTTCTGCCTTTTTTTTTAAATTTCATGTAGTATTGATTTTAGAAATGTTCTTGTGTCATGGTCTTTATTGTTTATGCTGTGTTTTCTATTGCATGCAAACTTTGTATGTTCTTGAAATAATATATTATTTCTTGAAATTCATCTTCTTATCTTTATCCTTATCTTAAATGATTAAATTGTCTTTATAATTTTTTTTCTTTCATTATTGTCAAGGTTTGTGTGGTGTGCTTTGTTATTTCTCCCAATGCTTGCCTTTTTAGCCTTTAGGATCACAAAGATGTCTCCGTTCTCCTGCTTGGTCTTGCCATCACGACGAATTCCATGGCTCTTATGTAGGTAAATTTTTTAACATTTGGAGCTTATTCCTTTCAATAAGAAACAAGTATGAGATTCTTTGTTTTTAAAGTAGTTCCTTAAGGCATTTTTAAATATATCTTCATCCTCTTCTATCGATATTAAAATAACTACTTTCAAAGGTACATCCTTACTCGTCTTTACTAAGAACGAAATTTCTACATTGGTTAAACTTTGAAATTCTCCTTTGTGTGTAAATTCCCATATGGTCAGTCGACAACGTAGTAAGAAATTGATTGGGAAATTCTTCAATTCTCTTGGGTTGCTTAGCTCCTTTCTTATTGGATTAAATCGATTCCAAGCGTATTCTGGTGCAATGTGCTTTGGTGTGGACTATACTATAGTTTTTTCTAGTAGAATGTATTGTGTTTTTGGGTTTCTATTGCGCCTCTTGGCATGTTTGAATTTATTTGTCCCAAGCAAGGGCCTTTAATTGCCTCATTTGATTAGCATTTTCTAAAACTAGAGCTCACTTTATAAAATTTTTAGTTCTTTATTTCTTTGGTTTGTTTTTGGGCACTTATTGATGTTGCTATTGTCAGACTTTTTAAAATTGATATCATAAAAGTTTTGGTGGATTTACTTACACAGCACCTAGAATATTAGGGTTTATATATTTAGCGTAGAAACTTTAATATTTATATTATCTAGTACTCTATTAACGTAGTTGATGAATCTCATTGGTCAATTGCCGGATCTCGTCTTTTTTAGGTCCGTCAATGCTTTCTCCCAACAAGCTCCTGCTGGTCGAGCTCCCTCGTAGACCTATCAATTATGTCACCTACGAGCTTGCATGTGATTCCTCGCTTTGTTGCCGAAGGCTTAAGAATATTTAGGAGCCGAAGAGATGGTGGGTGATTGAGATGAGAGAGGGAGTGTGATGGCTAGAGGTGGCCACTGACAACATAGTGGGTGACGGGGTTGAAGCTGAAGGGCAAAGGGACCAATGAAGTGGTGACAGGGTGATATGATTTTAATGGGAAGTGCATTTTTTTATTTTATCTTTTCTTTTTTCAATGCAATGCACGTAAGCAATTAAGTTTATGTGAATAAGTAAATCTTGGTGTTTTAGATGCTATGTATGTGAATCTCACAAATTTTTTATAGCGAGTTCTAGATGCATGATAAAGAGGTTGGTTATTGTTAAGAAGTGGTTTTTGAGAATATCCCCGAGTGATTTATGAAATGTAAAATGAATGAACATCATAAGAACTCTTGTTTATTGTTCTTTTAGATCTTAAAAAAATCTTTATTATTAAAAATTTAAGTGGGTAACAACAATCTTTTGATTATAATGATCATTTTAAAAGAGCTTTAAATTTACCTAATTGACGAGGACATCGTCAGCGATTTCAACACGTGTACCATCGGAGACGCCGGAGATCGACGGCCACGATCAAGAGTTTTATTTTGAGTCATTTTATGTAGTAGTTTATTTTATTTTTCGGTTTTACTGTTTTGCCCTTATGGGTGGTCATTTGATATTGTAGCCTCGAGGGCATTTATGTCTTTTAGTTTTGTTTCATTTTGACCTATTTATAGGAGGCCTCGTGCATTGTATGGGATGATGAATTATTGAATGAAAAAAAGCTTGTGCTTGTTTGATCTCTTAGTGAGTTCATGAGGGAAGTCCGAGGAGGGTGATTTGCAATACCCGTCAATCTTTGGAAGAGTCCAAGATTCGCGGTTCTTACGATCTATTTGTGAGTTCGTTATTTTTACTTTTATCGTATTTGTTTCATCATTCCTCCATCTTCAACTTCCGGCATTCTTCCACATCTCCACCACCACCCCACCTCCGAAATACCACCTCTAAGTCCATTCGAACTCCACATTCCCAAGCACCCCCCGCCGGCCTAAGTCCCTTCTCCCACCCAACCCGACCCCAACTCTTCCCTCCCAATCCTTGCCGCCCATTACCACTAGCCGCCGGCCCATTACCACCTCCCCAACCACCGGCCTCCCCTAAGTTCCCTCACCACCGGCCTCCCCTATCCTCCACTAGCCGCCGGACCCTCCACCCAACTACGTTTGAATTTTGAATTTCAAAATTCAAATCTACATTAATTACTTTCCTAATTTATCCCACTACTAATTTGGAAAGTATTAACATTTGAATTCAAATCTATATTTGAATTTCAAAAGCTTTCCCTACTAGTAAACTCAAATTAGGATACCTTCCAATTATATTAAATCTGAAATCAATCTCAGATTTAATGACAATCACTCATTAAATTCTTCCCGGACCCACATACATTGAACCTAGACTCTTTCCTCCCTTCTCTCTCCTGGCTGAAATCTCCCCGTAGCCCCACCCCATTAATTGTCCCTAAATTAATTCTCCAATCAAACACTTAATCTCCCGCAGCCTTAACTGCCTTCTCCAAGCCCCTTCCTCATGGATTTTCCCCATTCCTAAAGTTGCTAAGGGCTGTCCAAATCCCTGGACAGAACATGCATGCTGTCCAGAAATCCTAGACAACTCCATTGCTGTCCAGGAAAAGTTCAGCTGCTGTCCTGAACTAATTCCAGAATTCTGGAAAGATTCTAGTGGCTGTCCCGAACTTTTGAACTAGGAAAACTGCTGTCCTGCCCATTCGGAATTGGTGCACTGCTGCCCAGAATATCCCCAGTCACTGTCCAGAAGTATCATGCTCACTAGTCAACCCGTGGATTACCCGCCTCCGGCTACTTCTCCAACAGACTACACTTTGGGCGTCATTTGTCTCCTAGTGGCATCGCTCGGTTTGCTCTCAATCTTCCTCCGTTAAAGCTCCACCGTCAAGAGCGTGAGTGAGGGACCAAAAGTGAAGAGTTCTATTTGTTAACCGTGGATTATTATTTCTCACCATAACATTACTCTCTATTTATATGCTGTCCATTTGATATTGTCCCGTTAATCTAGTTGTAACCGCATGTCTTACATAATTTCGACTTGAGAATTCTGAAAACCTAACTTGGGTAAGCATTAATTCTATAACTAGCAAAGTTTTAATAATCTTATATTAAAAATCCCCAAGCAGTTCTTGTTTCCATGCATATGTTTCACATCACTAATACTTTGGCTCTTTTGGTTTACCAAATTTGATATCACTATAGCCTTACTCTATTACTTAATGAGCTGGGGCTTGCTTAGGGGTGTCAATATTTGACATGACACGAAAACTCAACTCGAACCTGGCTCGAAAATTTCGGGTTAGACCCGACCCAATTTCAAAACGGGTTGGATTCGGGTTCTTGAATTAAACCCGTTTGAAAAAAAATGGGTTGGGTTCGTGTTGACCTGACAACTCAAACTCAACCCAGGTTAACTCGGGAAAAACGGGTCTCGTTTGTGTCAACGTGAGTCTTGTCCGTGTCATGTCCGCGTGAGTTTCGTCCGCGTTAGTGATCCGTCAGCGTTGAATGCCTACCATCCCATTCACGTCCGTGCTGCTAGCCTTGTCGTCTCGTCTGCGCGAGCCCCGCTGTCAACGCGAGCCCCACTGTCCCATGTTTACAAAATCGTGTCGGGTCGGGTCAAACCAGTAGCCTGTCGGGTTGGATCCGTGTTCATTTTTCGACCCGTTTGCAAAATCGGGTCGGGTTCAGGTCAACCTATTTGAACCTGGGTCTGTTCCGGGTTCGAGCCGAACCCGACCTAAAACCCGATTTTGATACTCCTAGGCATTCCATATGGTTATGGAAATATTTGATTTCTTAAAAAGTAAAACGCTATTAAAGTTGGCTTAATCAATCAGTCAAATCTTGGGTGAGGGAAGTTGATAGTCCCTTGACTACTAGCTTTCAATTTATTGAGAATGCTTCAATTGGTAATCTCAATATAGATGTTGAAAGTCCTTCAGTCAAACAACCATTGAAGCAATTGAATTCCTATTGTGAGATAGTATTAAATGGTCAACTCTTAAGCATGTGTTAGCGATCAATCTATACTTGATGTTACTGCAAGTGAGTGATGCACCCCGCTTGATTCCTTTTAATATCATGAGGGTTTGGTAGCTCATCTTTCCTGATCCTATTGTTAATACTTTGATTACTAATCTTAGTATCCATCCTCTTTAGCATTTTGATGGAGAAATTCCTATTGTTAATCCTGAGTAGTGCATTGACTGTAGAAAAGGCTTCCAATTCTTGAATTAATTCTAATTTCAAAGATGATCACAAAGGCCTTGTTTTATTATAGGAATGGTATCTAAGAGAACAAGGTCATCATGTAAAAGCAAATGGCATGCTCTTTGCTTTTCGCCTTCAGTTTAGTCCTCCATGTAGATGGTATATATTCTCTGTTTTATGTGAATAGTCTCATGGTGCTCTCTAGATTGGTGTTTGGAATTAGCTAGCCTTTGCAAATGTCATCAGGACCGATTGTGATTTGTCTTACCCAAGGTTCCATCTATCTTTAGTTGCACGAAATTCTTACATTGGGATAAATTCCACAGCTTATCGTTCTATTTTAATGCTGTGCTCTCTTTGTCCCTTTAATTTAATTGCAATTTCATTAGGGTCTTTCTTTTGTTCTTCCTTGTAGTTAAATTAAAGTATAAATGCTCTTTCACGCATCATTTTACCTAAAACTTTTTGTATCCCTCTTTTTCTTCAATATGTAAATAAAAAAAGGGGGGATTTACATACATATCACTTTATTTCATACTATTTACATATCTAACTCTCAAAACATTAATGTTACATGCCTACCACGCATATACAACTTTAATATCAAATATACTCCTATATTTCATTCCTACCACTCATACCACCCTATAAATTTTAATATTTCATTCCACGCACTCATATTTGTTCAATGGGTGATAGATATATAATATTAATTTTTTTGGTGTTAGATATGTAAATAGTATGAAATAAAGTAGTATGTATGTAAATCTTCCAGAAGAAAACATGATGGAAACATCGGGTATATGTTTAAAACGTTTTCTTTTCAATTAGCTCGGAGAAAAGGGAAAAAGAAACGGGATATTGCTAAGGATGTGGGTTTGGAATCTGGTGTTTGCGCGATGTGCATGTTACTCCAATGCTACATCTACATTTCAGAAGGATTGACCATGGTAAACAGCTCTCCATATCTAATTCAAAGAATTTGCTCTTGACAATGATGCACTGAACTTCTGTTTTACATACAGATGCTAGCTGCTCTGCATAATGAAAGACAAAATTTCAAAATTTCTAGCCCTTTTAATAGTGAGCATGAGGTACATACACACATAGATATATATATATATTCTCCACCCTGCTTATATTCTGATGTTGTTTTGCTTTAAGGTTTCGTTTGGGGCGGCTTTCTTACTGTTTTTTAAAACAGTTTTTTAGTATAAAAATTATATTTTTTATACTAGAAAACTGCTTTAGAAAGCAGTAAGAAAGCTGTCCCAAACAAAGCCTAAAAGCTGTCTCAGACTTAGACTAATTCATCCTCTAATGCCCATATAGAGATTTATTCAGCACTTTGAGCTTCTGCAGAGGGCTAATGTTCCTCCACATATTTCCTACCATCTATTCATGGAATCAACAACGCATGTACGAATTTCTGTGAGTATCAAAATGAACCGTCTATAGTATATTTTGCTTCCCACTTCCTTATAAACTAGCATTTCTTTCATGCAGAATGTGGTTAAGCACAACTACTTCAGAGAAGTTCAAAGGATATTAGCCTCACTTCGTGGCAGCTTCGCCGGCGACTCAAATAAACTGTTAGAGCTCCACCAGCTAGAGCAAGTCATCGAACACAATCGAATAGCTTTGAGCGTGATCGACCAAGTCGGCGCTAGCGATCCGTCCCTTGAAATCAGGTTCGAGTTCCAACACCACCCCTTCTTTCCAGTTGCAGTGGTCAAGAGATCATAAATCATTTTGATGGTAGAAACCAATTTTGCGTAATAAGACTCAGTCTTAACAAAAGATTTTTTTAGACTGTCCCATTCAAAATTTTCGAGAAGATCCATTGCTTTTGGCTTAAGAGGAATGGATCTTTTGCATTGCAGGGCGGCTTCTATTTTTTTAATATTATTTTGGTTTGGTTTATTGAGTTTTTTAGGTGGAAGTCTTTTGTATTGTGATATTGGAAGATTATTGTAGTGATAATTGAGTATTCAATTGGTTGCCTACCAGTCAAATTGTCTTGTAGTTTATCAGTGATAGTTAACTTCTACAGAATTGTGATCCACTTAGCTGAAGGATTTCGTGGCAATGTTAGTCATTTCTTTTATATACAAATGAACACGAGCATGAATTATCTATGAACTGAGTTTCCATTTTTTTTTTTTTTTTAAATTTATGTTTATTTGATGCGATTTTTTAACAATTTTTTGTTTTTATTAAAAAAAAAAACAAAATAATTTTTAGATAATTATTACTGTTGGCTGTCACAACTAGTTTTTTTTTTTTTTTTTTGAGACATTTAGGCCATTTAAGGCAAACAGACACACAACGCATACAAATAGACTCAAATCCTAGACCTCTTAGTTGGAAGCCTAAACTCTCAACCAATAGGCCTACTACTGTTGCGCTGCAGTTTTATCGGCTACTACTGTTGCCATCACAGTCTCGCTGGCAATTGCTGTTGCCTTGTCGGTGATCGCCGTTCTCTTCTTTAAAGATATCAAATATATTTTATTTTATGTTAAGAATAACAAATAATTAAATTGATCCCAAATATAAAATTGGAAAAAAGAGAGAAATAAAGGGAAGAACAGAAAGAAAGGGATTTTTCGATGTTTAAGATTGTTTAGAATTGTGGTTAAGATTGCATAGGATTGTCCTCTTTTCTATAGCATGGTGTTAAATTCAGTGGTAACTAAGAAGCATGCCTTCAAGACTAGCTTTAGGGTTCGTTTGAGATGATTTTCTTACTTATTAGAAAGCTGTTTTAAGAAAGCATTTTCAAATGAGACCTTATTTTAGACATCTCATTTGAGATGTCATTCACACTCAACTTCTATCATCCACTCAAAATTGGTGGCCATTGTTTATTGCCCAATGAGAACTCTTTCACCTCAGTTTTTAATAACTTTACAAGAGATGTCTTCCACAATTCATATCTATTATATTAACCATAGTTTTGAAAATCGGACCGGATCGGCCGGTTCTATCAGTTCAACCGTGAACCAGTCCTAAGGCTGGTTCAGTCCTCTTAATGATAGATGTAAAATTATATCAAAATATATAACATAAATTAGTAATTATTTATATTAAATATATATTTATATATAAATTAATGCCTCATATGCGTTGACCTAAAAATGTGTGGGAACATTCATATAACCCTAAAATATTACTCTCTAAGGGCATCTCTAATTGAAAACGTCATTTCTAACACCAAAATATATTAACGGTTATATAAAACATAATTTTATCTCCAACACGATTCCATTTATAAAACCAAATATGAATATTATATATATATATATAATATTGTCTCGAACCAAGAACTATATTTCTAACACAAAAAATGAGTTTATATGAATAACATGATGCCAATATCAGTGTCACACTGTTCACAGACGAGATAAAACTTAAAAATGTGTTTTGATTTATCGTTCTGGTGGAGGCTCGTGAGAACTGCAAACGAGCGAATATCGCTCGGTTGGAGATGATCGAAGAATGCAAATGTTCTATCATAACAAAAATATTAATTTATGTGGGCATCAAATTCTATTATTTTTAATTAAATTTAGTTCATCCTAAATCAATTTTGTGCTAATTAGCCTAAATCCAACATCAACAACTTGAGCCAAATCTGAATTACAAATTACACAATCTCCATAAAAATAGAAGCCTAAACAAGAAAAACTAGGGGCATCAAAAATTGACCCAACCTGAAATCTGATATGAACCCGACCCGAAAAAATCCCGGTTCGGGTCAACCCATTTGTGAAACGGGCCGGGTTCGGGTTTGGATTTCCGACCCGTTTAAAAAATGGGTCGGGTTCAGGTTGAGCCGGAAACCCGCGGGTCAACCCGAATTGACCCGATTAGCCGCGTCCCGTGACTCCCGTCTAGTCGCGTCATGTCAGGTTTGCCAACCGTCTTGCGCAGGGCCGGTCGCGTGACTCGTGTCATGCCTACGTCGTAACGCCGCTACGGGTTTCTCTAGCTCTCAGCGACTCTGCCAGTCGTCCCATCCCACATCGACTCAGTCTCGCGCGGTTCGCCCCAAGCCCCCAGTGCCCTAGCGGTGCGGCACTCAGCTTGCTCGCCCCAATAGGCCGCAGTGCCGCACTCAGCCACTCACCCGCACGGACGTGCCTGCACCGCAAGGTCCGCGAGTCGCGCTTGAGCTGCTCTCGCCCGCACTGGGAAGAAATCGGCGGGTCGGATTGTGCCGGGTCAACCGGACAACCCGTACGGGTCGGGTCCGTGTTCAATTTTCTAACCCGTTCAGCTGAATGTGTTGGGTTCGGGTTGACCCGTTTACGTTCGGGTCAAGTCGGGTTCAACCCGAGCCCGACCCATTGACCCGAATTGACACCCCTAAGAAAAACATTCATTAAAAAAAAAAAAATCTTCCACATCAGATTAATCATATTGGCTGCTTCCAGCTATGCATTATAGAGACCGTTATATAATATAATTACAGCCTATCAGAAAAATATAAAAATAAAATTGCATCCATCACCGGTTTCGTTTAGCTTAATCCAGCTTAAATAAGCCTTATATTATCTATCTGTAGGTTGGTATGCGCCAATTTGCCTTTCAGCGACAAAATGGCAGATCTACCATCAATTAAATTAATAGTTTATTAGGGTGAAAAAAAGAAAATACGTACGGTTTCTTTTGTCACTTTTATAGCAAATCATTGCATTTAAACTGACAATTTTATCATTATGTAAGTTAATTAATATAATTTAGGTGTCATTATCGATTTTTAATTAATAATTAAAGAGGAGATTAGTTTGCTCTTCTTATAATAATATTTAATGAAAATAAATTTTAAAGTTATTAAATTTATTTTGAGAAATTAGAACATAAATTTTGATTAATTTTAAATGTATTAAAGTTTTATATTATTAAAATGTCAAAATTAGTAATGAATCAAATGAATCTTAAGGCTTCTTTTGGGTCAGCTTTCTTAGTATTTTATTTTTTAGACAAAAACTACAATTTTTGTTAGACCATTGCTTTTTTGTTGCTTTCAAAAAATTCGTGTACTAGAAAGTGCTTTCTAAAATAGCTTTAAAAAGTTACATTCTCTATAATAATTTTACAAGTAATAAAAAAGCTTTATTTGGGACGGCTTTTTTATTGCTTCTTAAATAGTTTTCTTGTATAAAAATTTATTTTTTAAACTTAAAAGCTATTTTAAGAAGCAATGAAAAAGCCGTCGCAAACAAAGCATAAGTCATTCAATCAATATAACAATACAACGACACAATTTTCAATATTATTGATATTATATATAATTAATGTTTAGTACAAACACTCATATAAATATATAAAATTATATTAAATATCAATAAAAATTAGAAAAAAAATATTTAATCTAAGTGATTTGCCTCAAATCAACTAAAAAGATAGCTAAAAAAATTATCATTTTCAATTCGAATAAAATCTTACTTGACTTAAAATTAATTAATTTTTTACCTAAAATTCAAAATTGATCGAATTCTACTTATCAATCTATCACAATTTCAATACATTGAACAATGTTAATTAATTCAAAATTGTTAAAAATTATTAGAACTTTAATAGAGAACACAATAACAAATAGGATGCAAGAGGGGGAGAAAAGGACTTAGACAATTAGTCATTAGATTATCACATAGATCTCCATTTAATTCTTTGAAGCTGAGTCAAATATGGCTCTTAAT